TTTCAATCATAGGTACGCTTGTTTTTATTTTTGAGTTTACAAATTGCGCAACACCAGCCATACGATTTGCAAACCAATCCATACAATCTGCACCTCGATAGCTCTCGAAATAAGAAAGGCTATCATCATAGCTGCATTTTACATAGAAACCAGCACTATACGGAACGTGTTTTTGATATTTTATGGTTTTAGTTAAATTTACGACGCTACTTTCTTTATGATTTTCTAATTGACATTCAAAATCTGCATAAACAACAAAAGGAGTATTTTGTTGGTATGTAAAGTTTTTAAATTCAACGCAGCTCTCTTTAGGAAGGTTAATTTTATATTTATTAAATTTAGAACACAGTTTTTCATGTTCAACTAATTTATTTTGCTGATGGAAATAGTTCAGACATCTATCGCAAATAAATTTTTTCTCACGATGTTTATTTAACTGGCTACTAATAAGACGCGAAAGATTTTTAATCCAACAATAGTGATATTTAATTTCATCGATTGAATCATTATCTTCATTTGCTGGCGCTGGTGGAGGAGCATCATAATCATTTAAACGCGGATAATATTTATTTTGAGCTAAAAGTAAATTAACATGCGTATCCCGTTTATTTTCCGTTAATCTTGCTGGTACTACTATGTAAAATGATTTTTTTTCTGTTTCGATCAATTCTAAAGCGTAAACATTGACTGAAATGTTATTCATCTTTTCAAATTTTGAAATTTTTGTTAGCAGCATAGGACTATCTAAATTTTCTGTTTGTAAAACGTCAGTAAAGTGTGGATATGAGGAGGTTAGTTCTGCATGTCTTTTATTGCTAGGAGTCCGAAGAGCGCTTACAATGGCCCAGTAAAAGCAATTTTGATCTATATTTTTAATGTTTATACAAGCATTTTTCCTTATAATCGGTTCTGGTAGTCTAATATAAGATGAACCGTTTCCCAATTGATATTTACTGATATTAACAACTAAGGAAATAATTTTATTTAACGCAAATCCCGAATCTTTTTCAGCAAATTCCGATAATTCGTTTAAAAGTTTATCTTTAACATATATCTTAAACCACTCGTCTATTTGAGTTGATGTATCAATAATATGATTTTTAGTATTAATATATTTAATTCCCAAAATTTCATTATCCCCCGATTTCCTAATAAACTCCCCGCAAAATGTTGTATTTACTTTGAGCGCACAATGGGTGTTCAAAATATTCCTAATTTTCCTTTTAAAAACAACTACACAATCTGCTAAAAATTGATTCAAGTCCTTATGACGCAAATTAGCTATGGAACCGGTTTTTATTCTACTTTGAAAGCTCGATTCTACATTTTCCCATCTAACCCTCTGACCCAATGTTAAGTGAAGTCCTGCCCCAATATGTCTAGTTAAAATCAACTTTCTAAAATGTTTAAAATGCCCCAAATTTGTTTCTACTTTTCTACAGGTCCCTACAGATAATTTATTTTGCCTTCTACTACGAATTACCCGTTTACATAATCTAATTTGTTTTTCTATTCGTTTCAGCCACACTTCCGCGTCTCTGATTATAAAATTATCAAATAAAATTTTCCGTAGACTAACAATTGATAGTAGAACACCGTCTGTTTGTTTGATGATCTTTTTAACCTTATTTGAAGACATTTGAAAAGACGACATTTTTTTTTTCAAGCAAACACATTACTCAAAAATATATAAAAATGCTCACCCTGTCCTCCTCCTCCTGTTCTCTGCTTTGTTAATTTTCCACTATTTTGAATGATGCTAGCGGTCGGCTTTTCCCTACGTCCACTTCCCCTTGGAAGATGATCGAGTATTTTCCGTGAAAAAGTTCGTCGATGACCGGCTGGTACGTTTCCGTCACCCGCTGTGGTAGAAATAGCACTTCCGGTCCTAAATCTAGTAGCACGGCTTCCCCAAATTTCGACTTGACCACTTTAGCTGCTTGGATTGCAAATGGTGTCCCGACTGGTAGGTCCTTTAATTTTCTGATAGGTTTGCGGTCTACAATCGAAGACGCAGCATTAATTTTTGATAAATCCATCTATAAAAAAAATTGAGTCGTCTAACTATTTTGAAGCATAACACGAAAAAACAGTTGCACTTAGAGACATAAAAAAGAAAAATATTAAATAAAATAGCACTTACTTTTTTTAAAATTTTCGCTATCTCGTCTCTCTCGAAGCACTATTGTACTGCGGCCGTTGTTCCAGCTTGCAGCGTTGTGCGTTAAGTGTGAAACAATGATGACTATTGCATGCGCTCGCTAAATATAAATACGTGGTTGAGATAACACACGCGTGCATGAGATAATTGTATCGTAAATATGCATATTATATGCATCATATTCTCAGTACCATTTTTATCGAGAAAACAACATTCATTGCGGTTGCAGTATTTTTTATATAATTTCTTAGTAATACATGAATGTATCGTTTGTCCGGCGGAAATTCCAATTACAAGTTGCACATGAGAGTAGAAATTTAGAAATATAGTAAATTCGTGTATGATTATTGTATATTTGCTGCCTAATTTTTTTTCAGTCAAGATTTTGATTGGGGGGTAAACGAATTTATATTTGCTATCTGAGATTTTTGACATCATTCTCTATCAGGTGTTGGTTCATGAAATTGGACATGCTCTCGGCATAGCACATAGTGCTTCTCCGAATGCTATTATGTTTGCCTTCTATCAGCATGAGATTCGTGGTCTAGATGTTGATGATATAAATGCAGTACAATATCTATATGGAAGAAAAAACAAATATGATTCAATCCCAACGTCTACCACCGCATCAGCAATACCAAAAACAACAACAACTATAAGATCTACAACTCGTAAGCAGCCGATCCTCAAAAATTTGTGTGATATTATTCCAGATTTTATGTTTTTAGCTATTGCTCCAGAGTTTTCAAATTACCGATTATATATTGCACATGATATGTTTATATGGAAACTAGACTTAAACGAAATGATTATCCCATCTCAGCCTGAACTTCTTGTCGATTATGTTCCTACAGAATTACGTCAATACACTTTACAACATATTTTCCAATCAACAAACGGTGACTTGATTACCATTGTGTCTCCAAACAACTATTTCTCAGCATCATTCCCTACCATTAAATTTCTTGATAATTTTTCAATTGATATACCCGATAGGGCTCGAATCAATGCTATTTTTCAATCAAACGCAGGACGGTCCTATACCTTTTATAATAATATGTCATATATAGAATTTTCTAACGATTTTACTGATGTGTTGAACAGAGGACGGATAAGAGACATATTTCCTGGGTTACCTGAAGTTTAGGGAAAAAATTAAAAAACAACCAGAACTGAACCGTGAAATACATAATTTGATTCTTGTCTGTCATGAACCAAATCAGTTGTCGAACAATGATTTGAGTCGATTAGTATCAACATCTAAAGTACTCCCTGATATGTAGTTTTATTGAAAATACCTCTGGTTTGCGAAATAATATTGTCGGAATTTCTTGTTGCAAGTTGTTCAAGCGCGGGTATTCAAAACATGGCACACACACACACACCAATCAACCTTATTGTTATATATACTATATGTTTCAATAAAATATCCATTATACTATTTTCATTTTGAACGGTATCATCCTGTATAATAATAACAGTACATCGTATACAGGTTATGAGACATTCTGACCGACCGACCGACCGACCAGAGGAGCCCACCACGCTATTTAGGTCACGCCTTGCTATATACGATTTAACGATATACCGTCGGTCCATCGATCCGCTATTTTTCGATGCACCCCTGTATACACGTTGCCCCCCGTAATCCACGCCAACACCAGACAGGTGCGACATCGGCGCCATCTATGCGCGAGATGCCCAACCCATCAATGGCAGCTGTCCAATGACGCATAGATTCCGTTTGGTTTGTACAGCGCCAAACAAATCGGCGCCATCTATGCGCGAGATGCCCAACCCATCAATGACAGGTGTCCAATGACGTATAACAGATGACGTGTAACGCCATCTATGCGTGAGATGCCCAATGACGCATGACAGGTGTCCAATGACACACAGATTCCGTTTGGTTTGACAGCGCCATCTAGCGGCGGAATCCCCAACTCATGATTACAGATTCCGTCCAACAACCTGTCAATGGCGCGCGACGCCAGCGCCTCTGGTGGCGGATTTTGGAAGTTTTGAGACCGAATCCCCATAAGACATCTACTTTGCTTCAAATGCCTTTCAAGGCGATTGGGCCTCATGCTATCATTACTTTCACACACTGAGGCAATTGTAACTCGTCTTTTTCTATGAAGGTAAATCCAAACTTAACGTAATCTTCGGAAAACTTTCTTTTTTTCGCTGCCATTTTGCACCTATAACAATAAAACAAATAAGTAATAAATAAATAAGCAGAATACCTACATGTAATTACTAACTATATGCCCATTATTTTATCTTAATAACGTAATGTATTCAACAGTATATGGGCCACCGGGAGATATTTTTGTAGGCAGGTTGACGTTATAATAGTAATTTTAAATAAATTTGGAATCAATATTAGGTACCTAAAGTTCATCGTTTCAAAATTGTTTCGCCACGTTGTCCCTATGGCCGATCTATGAACGCGTCTCCACTCAATCAACAATTTAGTAAATTAAATAAAAATGGTAACTGAAGTTTGTAAATACACAAAGTTACCTTTTAACAGTGAGACACAATACTTCTCAGCTACTGATAAACGCATTGTTTAAGTGGAAGAAGTGCGAGTATTTTCTTGAATTTTGTAGTGCATCTAGTCTATGCGATTTGTGGTGTGTACTCTTAAATTCGATTTGATTGCCGTGTGCAGTGTGATGTTCTTTCAATAGCACCACCAGTGAATTTCTGAGTAAAATATCCAAGCAAAAACCACTCCACGCTGTCCAGTTGTTTTTCGACTCAACGGCGTGCGCTCAGTTCCAATGGTTGAGGTAGCAGTATGTCTGGTAAAAATAAGCAACCAGACATAGACATGCGATGCGAGGCTTGTGAAGAGGATATCCGTAAAGGCAGTTCAAAGATAAAATGTTGTAATCTAAATTGTGAAGTTATCCTACATCAGAAATGCTTCTCATCGATTGCCAAAGTTATAAAACTAGAAAAATCCGACCGGCTGTGCAAGAACTGCGATGAAGATAGTGACACATTAACCACAACCGTGATATCGTATAGCGATGGAGATGTAATCAAGGAGCTTGCTAAAGTGAAAAGTGATGTTCGGCTACTAACTGATCTTGTGAATGAGTTAAAATCTACTGACAAAATTTTGCTCAACAAAATTGAACAGATTACATCCAGCAGGTTTCCCGATGTACAAATACAGCAGAATACTGAACTTCCCGTACTTTATAGTCAGGTTGTGTCAAAAACTGTAAGCAATCATTCCAAGTCTGTTTTAATTATTACGTCAAATGATCAAAAAGAATCAAACTCCGAGGTTTTAAATACTGTTAAAGCGAATGTTAACCCTGCTGCCGAGAAAATAAGTATCAATGGTGTTAAGCTTATAAAAAATGGAATGTTGATTAGTTGCTCTAACGAAGAATCTTTAGAAAAACTTAAGGGTGTATTTCAGAATAAGTTTAACAGTAAGTATGAAGTAACAGCTCCCAAACCCTTCAAACCCCGTCTCTTGATTACTGATGTTGATAAATCACTAGATGATAGAAACACTTTCCTCGAATCAATAGTCCAAAATAATGATTACTTGGCTGATTGTGATATAAAGGTGATATCTGTTCTAAAGTTAAAATATTCGTTGAGTTATATAGTAGAGGTTGATCCTGATGTGAGGAAAACCATAATTACTCGTGGATTTTTGTATACCTCTTGGAAAAAGTGTTTTGTCCGTGACCATATTTCAGTAATTAGGTGCTTTAGCTGCTCTCGATTCGGTCATTTGAAAAAAGATTGCAAAAATAAGTCTGTGTGAATTGCTGTGTATATAATAATTATATGAAAAGTTATTCTAGAGATTTTAAGCCATATTCAGTCGATCATGCTGCATCAGACATACAATGTCCATGTTTTCTAAAGAAATATGCTGAATTAAAATCTAGAATTGACTATGGCTAGGCTTAATAACAAAGTTTTAAATATTTGTCATCTCAATGTGCGGTCCTTGACTACTGCTTTCGACTGTTTTTGTGGATTGGTTCAAAACAAATTCGATATTATATGCATTACCGAAACGTGGCTTAATGAAAACATTTCTAGTCAAGCTGTATCTTTAGAAGGCTATCAGCTTTTCCGTAGAGATAATTTGTGTAGGGGTGGAGGGGTTGGCTTCTATATAAGAAATAATTTCAACGTTACCGTTATTGATACTCTTGATTTTGTAGGTGACTCTTCCCTAGAATTGCTATGCTGCAAACTCAGCATGGGCAACTCTTCCCTACTTATTGTCGTCGTGTATCGCCCTCCTCATACTTCAATTACAGATAGCATTGATACCATTGGTGATATGCTTTCTTTCTTCGTACCTCAATATGATAATATAATAATTCTTGGTGACATAAATGTTGACCTTTTGAATCATGACAATCCTTTGAGCAACTGCTTCGATAGCTTCAATTTTGATCAATTAATAAATGAACCGACTCGTGTAACTCAGTTTAGCTTAACTCTAATAGACCCCATTTTTTCTAGCAATTCAAACAGTGTTGTAAAATCAGGAGTACTTAATGCTGATCTTGTGTCCGACCACAAGTTAGTTTTCTGTGCTGTTGCTCTGAAGCTTCCTAAATTTGAGCCCAAGTTAGTAACTTATAGAGATATAAAAAATATTGATGTTATTAATTTCAAGGGCGACTTACTTCATGCAGGACTTGATCGTATCTTTTACTTTATGGATGTTGATGACAAAGTAAGCTGTCTATCTAGTTGCATAATACAAATATATTATATGCACGCGCCATTACGAACTGCTCGTGTAACAAAACCGGCTGCTCCATGGATAACATCGAACCTGAGATGCATCTTTAAGGAACGCGACAAAGCTCTCTTGAATTTCCGTCATGACCCATCTGATGTGAACTGGTCTACGTACAAAGATATGCGGAATTACGCCCTTGCTTCCTTTCGTAGGGAGAAGATGGCCTACCTTTCTAGATATGGTGATATTAGTACACGATCAGCATGGAAAACACTTAGATCTATGAATGTCTGTCAACAGAAACGTGTTGAAGTACCGTTTAATCTGCTAGATCCCCGTGAAGTCAACGAATACTTTTTAAGTACTTTTATGCCTGCCGATCAAAACCTCAAAGTAGTACAATCCACTGTCAACAGCTACAGCAACAGACGCTTCGATCCCGACGTGTCATCATTTCAGTTTCGTCTGAAGATATGAATGCATTCTTGTCTATCAAGTCTGAAGCAGCGGGTTGTGATGGCATCACTCTAACTATGCTAGGCTTATGCCTGCCTGAAATACTTGATCACATCACGCATATTATTAATATTTGCTTAGAGAGGGGCGTTTTCCCATCCAACTGGAAGGAGGCAATAGTCACACCTCTAGTCAAAAGTAATAATCCGTCTGAACATGCCGATCTTAGACCTATAACTGGTTTATGTTTCTTGTCGAAAGTCTTGGAGAAGATAGTATACGAACAGCTTGTTGAGTATTTTGCTAATAATAATTTCTTTCCAGTACACCAATCTGGTTTTCGTGAAGGTCACAGTACGACTACTGCACTACTACATCTTGCAGATGAGATACTTTCCAACCTTGACAACAAATCCGGCACGCTGTTGGTCATGCTTGATTTTTCCAAGGCTTTCGATACGGCCAATCATGAGATTCTTTTGAGTAAGCTAAAATATTATGGCATGTCGGAAGTTCCTTTGAATTTCTTCAGATCGTACCTAACTGATCGCACCCAAAGAGTGAAAACATCTAGAGGAACTTCTGATGCACGGTATCTGTCATCAGGAGTTCCACAGGGTTCAGTACTGGGACCTCTTTTATTCCTAGTATACAAGTTATGTCCATGCTCACCCTGTACATTATATAAAATTATAATTTACTTAGTAGGCACTTGATTTCTCACGAGCAATGACGCGGCGCTCAAGAATGTTATCTCGCGCCTTGCTAGTTCTCATGTTAACATCGTTTTCTTTATCATATCATATTTCTTGTATACCATGCTAGATTCATATGTTAGGAAATCTCGTCACTTTTGGTTTGACCGTCTTGTTTTACGTACCTACGTGACAAGGTTTCTCTAGAAGTCACTCTGTACCGATTTTGGAAATAAAGTTTTTTTTAAAAACATCAATCTCGGTATCAGTAATTTAACTGGGGGCTCAACCGGGATCCCTCAGCGTGTCGCGAAACGTGAAACGTGTTCCTTCGGCGTCCGAATTCGAGGCAATCGAGCAGATTATCGGCAAGCCGAAATCACCAGTTAAACGAAAAGGCACGCGAACTTTCAATGTTCTTGAAGGGATCCTAGCCAGTAATAAGCAACCGAGTGAAGGCACTGAAGACCATTAGCACTGGGCCACGGCCTGAAGTTCCAGAACTCCCAAAAAGTTAGCAGTAAGTCCGGCACTACTAGGAGGGTGTGCAGCAACTGTAGCAGTACAGCCAGTCTACTGTAGAAGCTAGTGGAGCCGAAACAGAGAAAAAGAAGAAGACAGAAAACCGCGCCTTTCATGGATTTTCAGTGTGTGATCTTGCTACTGACAACTCCATGGTCGCAGAGTCTACAGCTGAGGCTTCATCAAGTTCCAACTAATAATGGTTTCTATTCGGAACCAATAGGTGATGCGAAACTGATAAGCCATTATCATACGTTTATTCTCAGTCATAATCTCAGCCTAATAGCTGATGTTATTAATAAGGTAGAAGTTAGTTATAGAGCCATTCTGACGATACAAATCTTAAACCGGTACTAGAGGACTTGTATAAAAATATCATTAACGTAAAAGCAGAATATTCAAAATTATCGCCTTACCATTCATATAGTAGGAAACGTCGAGCTATTATTAACGGATTGGGAAGCATTATAAGGTATGTGACGGGTAACTTAGATCAGGACGATCTTACAGAAATCAACGATAAATTTATATCATTAAGAGACAAAGAGAACGAACTCATAGTGGCTATTAACAATCAAAAAGCATTCGCTCAGCTCATTTCACAAAAATTTGAGAGAAACATGAAACTCATTCAAAATAATGTACAATCGCTATCAGAAACTGTCAAGAAAGCAATTTATGAATACGAGTATGAAACTTTAATTTTTAGACTACTTATTTCTCTACGAGAAATCTCTGATTACCTCGGACTGATCCAAAGCACAATATCCCTATCACAGAAACATATGACCAATGTAGCTAATTTTAATGTTAAGGAACTGATTCATATTGAAGAATATTTCAAATCTGTTTATTCTAAGAAAAATTTGGTTCTCTTAGATGAAACTCATCCTTTCGAAGTACTCAGCCTGAGTATAAGTAGTATTATTTATACAGATGAAATAATTTTATGCGCAGTCGAGTTACCTATCTTGGAATCTACCAAATATAAATTATCAAAGTTATATCCCTTGTTAAACAGTAACACCATGTTAGTACTATTCCAACATGAATATTTTTTGTATAACGATGTATCGATTAAAAGTTGTCCTAAGCAATGTAAAAGATCCATGAATCGATTTATTTGTGAAACTTCGACTAATCAAAAATGTACGCCTCGATCAATTGATCAATGTAGCATTGTACAGGCTAAAAACTTTTTAAGCTTAACATATTTGCTCGAGAGTGATGAGGCAGTATTATTTTCTAGCAACATCAGAATCACTGTTTTCGAAAAATGCGATGGCGAAATCAAGCCTTTTAATCTAATTGGTAATTATATTTTAAGTAGTAACTGCACACTGGTTATAAATGATGTATCATATGTTCTTCATAGCACTGTTATTCCAACAGAGCCCTTGGATTTCAATATTTCTGACTTTACATTAAAGCCAACACACACGATAGATACTTTCCATATTACTAGTAACGATTTTTCTGATATCAAGGAAAATTTAAATAAAATGAAAGAGGTTGCACCAGTTAAGTTTAACAACTATCATTCTCATGTCAATAGTTCTCTTATAATAGGGATAGTCGTTACGATATTAATTATACTTGTATTAAAATCACGTTTGTGTAAAAGGCAAAAATTATCTCAAAAGAAAAATGAAGTTGAGTCTGATAAGAACGAGGACGTTCTAAGAGTTTAAGGAGGGAGGAGTTATGTCCACGCTCACCCTGTACATTATATAAAATTATAATTTACTTAGTAGGCACTTGATTTCTCACGAGCAATGACGCGGCGCTCAAGAATGTTATCTCGCGCCTTGCTAGTTCTCATGAGTTATAAGATCGATGCTTCGAGATCGCTTTTTAAAAAGTTTATTTTTCGAAAATACAAAACTCAAAACTGTACTTTTACAAAATTATTACAATGTTATTATGATGTTAACAGTACAAAGGCTTAAATCTGACTGACTGTAAAATGTGTTGAGAACAATAAAGTAAACTCTAGGTCTTCTAGGAAATTAGTAGCATCGTCGGCAGTATTCCTATCATATCAGCAGGAACGGCTGATATAACTCCTCCCCCCTGAGATTCAACTTCGGGGAAGAATTCTTCAAGGAAGTTGAATAGGATGAAGTTCGACTTCTGGTTGTTGAATACTTCTATTTCTCCTCTTCAAAATGGTTTTCCAGAATGCGTAGACACCCAAGAGTAATATACATCCATATATTATCAGTGTCCAGGCACAGGGTATAAAAAATTCTGTAGGTTTTTTGAAGTTGGGTTTGTTGTTGATAATGCTTGACTTGATTTTACTTAACTCGTCTAGCTTAATTTTTTCTAGATGCAGACTGAAATTTGTTTCTGTGATGTCGCCTTTAGTGTCCAGGTTTAAATCCGGGAATATTATAGGTTGGCCCGCGACAATCGTTTCGGGTTCATTTTTGATGATTTGGTGATTAATTTCGGCTTGACAGTTGACAGGAATATAAAGTAGGTAAGTTCCCGTCAATCTTTTCATTTGAATTTCTTCGTGGCATTCCATTTTGATAACTTCTGGTAGTGGCAGGATCAATACCCATTGATTAGTCCGTTGGATTCGTTCGATACTTGGCTGATTGATTATCAGTGGAGTTCGGGCACATGCAGGGGCGTTTCTTCCATTGAATAGTTCAAGTTCACAGGGTAATGGACCATTAATGTCTCGCAAGATGGTCTTCTCGCAGAGAAACTTTTTAGGAGTAATTTCAGTACAAATGTCGCCGAAAAGTGCAAAGTGCAATTCATTTTTTACCAAATAAGGCTCCTTTGGAATGATAGTCTTAAATTGACCTTCAAAATATATCGGGATTGGAAAGAGACGATATAAGTTAAATGACTCATGGTACGAGATTGGGAATGATAAAACGAATGTAATTTTGTTGCCCACGGAATAACTGGAGATTTTGATTATTTTTTCAAAAGTTGGTATGTTATCTAGTAAAACTGGAATCGCAAATTTTTCCTGGCCCAATCTTGAGCTCAATAGTTTCAGTTCACCAAAAATTTCTTCGGTTGTAATAATGCTAGAGTGAATTGTTCCAAGACGTGCAAAAATTATTGAATTTTCAACGTCTTGTAATATTGACAGAGTTACTTCGTAGCTGTTCATAATTTGAGATACTGTGTCTACTATGAATTTATGCTGATCTGAATCGATTGTAGTACGATGAACAATTGCATATATGGTATTAATTTTATTATTCAGCAATTGTTCATTATGACAGATTTGCTGAACAGTTTTATTGAACTTATCAATAAGAGATACTGACAGTGCATTATTCTGTGTGACACTGTTAGTCAATTCTCTTTGATTATTTTGAAGCTCTCGAATTAGATTTTCGAAACGTTCGCCATCATTGGCGTCAAGGTTTCCAGTTATTGATTTGAATATCGACCCAATGCCATTTAATATGCCTCTTTTTCCTCGATTTGTATGGGGAAATATATTATGTAACTTTTGTTCTACCTGTCGCTGAACAAATTTTAATGTTCTGAAATAATTGGACAAATATGTAGTGACATTTAAATTTGAAGAAATGGTTTCTGCTATACGTGAGGAGGAAATTGATAATTTTTCAATTTCAGAAATGATGGGATTCATATCATAATAATGAATGAGTGAAAAGTCATAGTCTTTTACTTTTGCTTCACCAATTTCCACGGGAAGTAGTCCTGGATTGTTGTCGAGGTTACGTATAGTTATGCTATCCTGAAGTCCAACCGTTACTTGCAGGAATCTGCAAATGAATAATACCTACATGTATGTATGTCGTACTTGGAGAGAAACATTTAGTTGCTAAATGAATATGGTTTGCGAAGGGGACGCTTCAAATTATCGATATGTACTTTATTGTGTTTATCAGTAGTAGCGGTCTTTTTACCAGGATCGACTGATGTTAGTGTACATGATTTTTGGAATTTATTTGCATTTTTCTGACGTATATTTTTCTTAACGAATGCTTTCTGACCTGGTTGAAATATTTTTGCACTATCTCGAGCTATGTTTGCCTTTTCAATTACTTTTTCTTTATTTTGAACAAGCGCCTCGTTGATTTTGGTATATAATAGCTTACTGCGTGCTTTGTGTTGTTCTACATAATCATTCAACAAAATTTGGTCTAAGCTGATGTCAAATGTATCTTTTTCACTGAGATGACCATTTATGACATCGATGGGTTTTAATTTAGTCACAGAATGAACAGAGTTGTTGTATGCTAAGATTGCGTATATCATTTTCATTTGGACAGATGTTTTTTGAAAGCCTTGAGTGTTTAAAATTCGGAGTTGCTCAGATATTGTCGAATGAAATCTTTCGACTACGCCATTTGACTGGGGATGGTTCGGGGAACAGAAATGTATTTCGATTCCATGTAAACCTAATAACTCGGATATGACTGAGTTTTTAAACTCGGTGCCATTGTCAGTAATAACTTGTGTCGGGATTCCATGATGGGAAAAGTATCGGATAAGGTTGTCAGCTACTTCGGTACCTGTCATTGAATTGAGATGGTAAGCTTGAGCGTACTTTGAAAAACTATCGATAATGGTCAAAAATTTAGATTTTTCAAATGTGTATGTGTCCATGTGAATTATTTCAAATGGCTTCACAGCAGTGGGAGTGATATTCATTTGCGCTTTAACAGGGTGTCTCTCGTATTTGGCTTGTTGACAGATTTCGCAGTCATTTATGTATGACTGAACGGAACTTTTCAAATTTGGCCAATAGTACTTTTGTTTTAAGCGAGAATAGGTTTCATCGATCCCGCGATGATTTGATTTCCCTTCATGATAATTTTGTATTAAACTTTTAATTTCATCATTACTAGTGATGTCTAGAAGTTTTTCAAGACACCTTTTAAACTTGATAGAGGGCCATTTAAAATACTTTTGTAAAGCGCCTGAGAAGGGTTCGTATATGTCAGGATCTTCGAAATATATATAGTATGGGACATCGGGTACAATATATTCCTTGACAAAATTTACAACATCTGATTCAAGGTTGTTCTTTGAAATTTGCACTAATAGCCGCTGTTTTCTCTCGAATAAAATTATGATTTTCGGCTTGGCGGGAGAGTGCAGGACCGTTTTAATTACGATCTGATTTTGGCCAAAGTTCAATGGTTGGTCTGATATAGGAATTGTAACAACCGGGTGTTGATTATTAGAGTGCCGGGTTTCATCATCTTTGTCAAGTTCGTCTTCATTAGTATTGGTTTTGTCAATAACAAAAGGAAGTTCGTGGTAGTCAGTTTGTTCTGTTTCATTGATTATATCTTCGTCAGTATTTGTATTGTCAACGGTAGGAAGTTCCTGACAGTCAGGTTGATCTGTTTCATTGTCCAAGTTGACAATCATTGAGATATCGTCTAGTTCAGGGTTTAAATTGGGGTAGCTAATATTTTGAATTATCAGTGGGGAATTTGGATTAGCTTGTGTCGTGGGAGGTGTGTTTAAATTTTGATCTACAAAGGTAATTCTTTGATTCTGATAGTTGGAGGCTTCTCCAAGGAAGTCGTCGAGTTGTTCCCAAAAATCGTTAGTTTCCTTAGTATGAATTTCGATTCTAGAAAGAGCGTCAGCATTTGTATTGAGTTTGCCTTTTTTATAGATGATTTTGTAATCATATTCGTCAAGTTTCATTTTCCATCTCATTAATTTTGAGGAGACGCCTTCCTTTAATGAATAAAGGTACTGGAGGGGTTTATGATCTGTTATAATATTGAAGGTCTGCCCATAGAGGTAAGGTCTGAAATATTTGGTAGCCCACACTATAGCTAACAACTCTTTTTCGGTAGTGCTGTAATTTCTTTCCGAATCATTTAAGGTTCGTGACGCATAAGCTACAGGCAAATCACTACCGATTGGACCCTGACTAAGAACTGCACCTAAAGCTACATTGCTTGCGTCAGTTGTCAAATTGAACGGTCTTGTGAAGTCTGGGTACTGAAGTATTGGGTCGTTGGTAAGTAATGTCTTACAGTTTTCGAAACATGATACAAATTCGTCGTCGTGAACAATTTTTGCACCTTTTTTGAGGCACTTAGTGAGAGGTTTCGTGAGTTGAGCGAAATTTGGAATAAATCGCCGATAATAGCCTAAGAGTCCTAAAAAGCTTTTTATTTGCCTATTAGTTTTTGGTATAGGGAAATTTTGTATTGCTGAGATTTTGTCGGGGTTAGGTTTCACGCCTTCAGGAGTTACTATATGTCCGAGGTATGCAACCTCTTTTCTTAGAAACTCGGATTTATCTAACTGAATTTTAAAGTTAGATTCGCGTAGTCGGGTAAAGACAGATCGTAGCCTTTCTAAGTGCTCTTGAAGAGACGTCGAAAATACGATAATGTCATCGAGGTAAACGAGACATTTTTCGTTTTGAATTCCTCGGAGGATGTTGTCCATCACTCGTTGGAACGTGGCTGGTGAATTTTTAAGACCAAACGGCATTCTCAAAAATTCCCAATGGCCATTTTCGGTGTTAAATGCTGTTTTTTCAATGTCTTTCTCGTCCATTTCTATTTGGTGAAAACCACTAGCAAGATCCAACGTACTGAAATAGTGGCATCTTCCTAGTTTGTCCAGCAGGTCGTTTATATTGGGAAGTGGATATTTGTCATCAATAGTCTTATCGTTAAGATTACGATAGTCTATTACGACGCGCCATTTCTGTTTGCCAGAGGCATCCATCTTCTTAGCCACAACCCAAATGGGCGAGCAATATGGCGAATTACTTTGCCTAATAATGTTCGATTTCAACATTTTTTGGATTTGGTCATTTACTTCTTGTCGGTGAACAAAGGGGTACCGGTAGGTCTTGGAATAAATTGGGATCTCATCAGTAGTTCGAATCTGATGTTTTATCTTGTTTGTGAAAGTTAGTGGTTCGCCTTCACGATAAAATATATCCGAAAATTCTTTGCAAAGTTTGAGGATTGCGGACTGTTCTTCTGAATTTAGGTGGTCTACTCTAATTTTGGAATAGTCTAGTTTATTTTCTGGAGAATCGTTGATATTATTAAGATCAAATTCTTGACATATCGTCGGATGTATAGACTGGTAAAATGGTTCAACAGAAAGGGGTTCAGAAAAGTCGAGTGTAACGGTATCTGTCGTATTGTTCAGTAAGGTCGTCAAAGCATAACTATCTTTCGCAATAGTCAAGCATTCCGGTATTTCACAATTATGGATTTTTTGGTGGGGTATAATAATTTCGCCATCGCTTATGGATGTTTTAACTTTTATGACAAGCTCAGTGCGAGGTTCGATGGTAACAAAATTCAAATTATTCTTAGGTTTTTGATAAAGCAACTTGATTTTTGCATACGGTGTCACAAGAAACCCTTCTTGAAATAAGAGTCTTGCCTGTAATTCTTCTAAGTTATCCATACCGATCAAACCATTGAAAAAATCATGAAACTTGAACAAGTAAAATTTTAATTCCTTTAGATGAGGCAAATTGAAAATTTTGGATGCTGGTATTAAAGTACTGAATTTATGGGCGGATTTCTGAAATACAGTCGAAACAATGAATGGTTCATTTTTGATTTGTTGTGGAAAATATTTGAATGCGATGTCTGGATCTATAAATGACCTAGTAGACCCGCAGTCAATCAAAAGTTTTATGTCATATTCGGGAAAAACTATATAGCTCAATCCTTTTGTGTTGCTAGCATTGAACGATATAATTTCACTGTTTATGTCGGTTGAATAACCTGGCTGGCTGGGGGAAAATTTTCATTTCCTGACGTCGAGGTTGGGTTGGGCATGTCAAGTTCATTATTTTGATCGGTATTGTAATGATCGTATTGACAAATATTTTGGTTGGGGTCATCATAGAATTCATCGTAATTATTTTCGACGTTAGTAGCAAAATTGCCTGTATCATAAGTTTCATATGTTGCGTTATCATTTAACTCGGTGTTATACAGTTCCTCAAAGATAAAATTTTGCTGAGGTCGAGGTGTGTTCGCCGGAATTGGAGCGAATGGTGGACGTATTGTGTTTCTTGTGCTGACACTCATCGGTGTCGGCCTTGGAAGATTTCTTGGATTTGAAGAATTGGGCTTAAAAACGTTTGTATTCGGATTCTTTGTTTGTTGGTTGCCAAAGACTTCAGCGTTAGTCGGGAAACGCTGATTTAAGTTTGGCCTAGGTTGAATTTGGATGGGTTGAGATGGGAATTGCGTACGGAAAAAGCTATTAGGCGTACGAGAATTAAAATTTTGATAAGGCATATTAACTGGGCGTGCAGGTCTGAACTGCGAATTTTGAAAATTTGTAAAATTCTGTGAATCTGTCTTAACTCTATATGAAACGTTTTGGAAATAATGCACATTTTGTTCTTCAATCACTAATTGAAGAGCTTCGCTCAAGGAGGTTGGTTTCATGCACCTGACAGTGGTGCCCAATGGTTCTTTCAAGCCTGAAAGGAAAGTCTTTAACGCAAGTTTTTGATACAAATCGCGTTTTATTGCTTTACCACTTTCGGTAGCTTCGTGGATATTAACGTAGCTACACAGATTGTTTAAAATATGCAAACATCTTTCGTGAAATTTTTGAGGGCTCTCATTTTGATATTGCTTTAGTAAGCAAAGGTCTCTATGTAAGCACACTTCATCACGTTGGTCAGAAAAACTAGTAACTAATAAAGTTTCGAGTTCACTCCAGGTGTTCACTGAATGAATGTTTATTAAAGATTTGGCATGTCCTCTCAGCTTTGAAAGAATGGAGTTCAATAAAAATGTATTCTGAAAATTGTTTGGATTGGAATGATCATAAAAATTGTCAATCAAGGATTTGCTTACACGCAAAAATCGATTGAGATCGTTACTGTTGCCGTCAAATTCGGGCACACAACTTAAGTATTCGGGCCTAAAAGTAGCCATAGTTGTAGTAATACTTGTAGGTATTGAATGTACAGGGACTTGTGAAAGTATGGGCTCACGTAGTATATTAGAGTACCGTCGAGTATTTGGAGAGTCAGTATTAAGGTCCAAATTCTCAAGGGCTTGCGATATATCAATACTCATTGAAATTTGAAGCGATAAATGGAAAAAAAATAAACTGCACTTACAACACTAAGAAAGCGATCTTTAGCATCTCTTACTCCTATAAAGATCCTAGCTGGTTCTGCAATGTTGTCTTCCCCAGGCTGGAATCCTTGCGAACTTGGGCAATGTGGTCCCAAATTCCGATGCCCTTCGTATGTAGCTGTTCACGCCGGTTCCTCGATGGATTGGGTATCCAAAAATATGAATCCACTCCAGTGCTCACTGCCACTACACGAATGCCAACAAGTCCAAAAGGGCCGGATAGAGTCCCGAAAAGTCCCGTCGCGACGGTTTGCGAAAGTCTTTCCCGGGTCGCGTATTTCTCATCCTACTGGATTGACTGCGCCAGTTATAAGATCGATGCTTCGAGATCGCTTTTTAAAAAGTTTATTTTTCGAAAATACAAAACTCAAAACTGTACTTTTACAAAATTATTACAATGTTATTATGATGTTAACAGTACAAAGGCTTAAATCTGACTGACTGTAAAATGTGTTGAGAACAATAAAGTAAACTCTAGGTCTTCTAGGAAATTAGTAGCATCGTCGGCAGTATTCCTATCATATCAGCAGGAACGGCTGATATAACTCATGTTAACATCGTTTTCTTTATCATATCATATTTCTTGTATACCATGCTAGATTCATATGTTAGGAAATCTCGTCACTTTTGGTTTGACCGTCTTGTTTTACGTACCTACGTGACAAGGTTTCTCTAGAAGTCACTCTGTACCGATTTTGGAAATAAAGTTTTTTTTAAAAACATCAATCTCGGTATCAGTAATTTAACTTACATATTCGATCTGCATCAGTGTGTAGAACATTGTTGCATTCAAATGTATGCTGACGATACACAGCTAACATTTCGTTTAAATGAATCCAACTTACATGAAGCATCCTATAAAATTAACCTAGATCTTGATAACGTATTAACGTATTGCAATAGACACTGTCTCCGCATCAATCTATCAAAATGCACCGCGATACCATACTGTCCTAAACATTCAAATTACAACATCACAAATCGAGTCTCCTTATTTATCAACGACATAGATATTTCATTTTGTGATAATGCTAAGAATCTATGTGTTATATTTGATTCAAATCTTCGATTTAACTTACATGTGAATAATATTATGAAGTCGAGTTATATGAAGATGAAGCTTTTATATTCTAGTCGCCATATTCTAAACTTTAAGTGCCGCAAAAAGTTGTGTGAAAGCCTCATATTATCAATTTTAGCTTACTCTCTAGTCCTCATTTACTCATGCCTAGACTCAGCTTGCAAGTCAAAATTGCAGAGGCTTCAGAACAACTGTTGCAGATTCATATTTGGGCTTAGGAAGTACAGTAGCGTTTCTTCAAAAATCAAGGAGTTACAGTGGCTCAGAGTTGACGGCTTATACAACTACTCTATGGCTTCATTGGTGCATAGACTTTTTAAAACTGGTGAACCCGTCTATTTGCTCTGTAAGTTGATTCCGCGTGGAAACCAAATTACTCTACATCTGCGGCACAATGATCTACTTTCCATTCCTATACATCGTACGTCGGTCTTTGAAAGGTCCTTTACTTGCGGTCAAGGTATACAATTCTTTACCAGCTATCTCTAAGAGCAGCGCTTCAAGAAGACAGTCAAGTTGCACTTTCTGGACTCAGCACATTGAGTGATAAATTCATTTTGCTTGTTCTTTTGTTTCTTTTCTTTGTATATGTTCATATTATATATTTACTCCTTTTTAATGCATTCCTTACAGCTACTGATTCATGTTGTTATGCTAATGTTTTGTGATGTCTGGTTGTAGTATGGTTGAGTGGTAGAGTAGCCATGGCTAAACTTCGCCATACTATGATCATTTTCTGAATAAAGTCATTATTATTATTATTATTATTATTATTATTATTATTATTATTATTATTATTATTTCTCAACAAAACATGTACATCGAACCGACAAATTTTTCGCAAGTTTGTGGAAATGAATATCACAAATGCTCATCCGCGTCTGGTAGGTACACAATTGTGTTCTAAGTGATGAATGTTAAGCGGAGCGCGGCGGGGGTGCGCGCTGATTTCATGTTGTGACTTGCCGAAACTTGTACAAAAATATGCAATCGAAGTTGCACATATACTTTATCTGAAGTCACTTGAAATAGCATAAAAACCTTTGGTCGGCGCGTCCTTTGTAATTTCATGACGTATCATAGGCGTGCGGTCATTTATTTAGAACGATAATAATAATGTTTTTATATCACAATAAATGGATTTTACTATCTTCTTATTTTTTTGATTTGGAATAAAAAATACTTATATTGGGAGTTTAATTTATGTTGACTGAAAGTTAAGAAATGGAAAAATTACAGAATTCCAACGTTTGACATAGGCAAATATTTACATAGCAGGTAGGTATATAAAAAGGTATATAAAGACTTACATTATAGGTATTTATATATCATCCTCGCCTTCGGAGCTGTCGCTAGAGTCATCTTGTAGAGGAATTACAACGGGATTTACAGGAGGCAAAACACAATATTCATTTTCTTTTTCAATAATATGCCTAGAACACTGCTTCCATAGGTCTGTGGCAGCAATATGAGATACTGCATCTCTTATTGTGGCCAATAGCGATTCACTTAATTGAGGGGTCTGATTATGTTTTCTTACTTTTTTTTTAAAGCAGCCCAGACCAACTCAATCGGGTTAAAAATGCAGTAATAGGGAGGTAGACGTAATACTTCATGGCCATTTTGCTGAAGCAGATTGTCAACAACATACTCTTTTTCTCAAATTTTTGTCTTTTAATAAGATCCAATAATATGGCTTTGGTTGATTTTTGTGGTATTTCCATTCCCTTATCCTTCATAAAATCAATAATGTCTTGTTTTTTTGTGCATGTATTCGGAATTTTGTTTTTCTGTCGGGAATGGTATGGCGCATTGTCCATAATAATCACTGAATTTGGGGAAATGTTTGGTATTAACTGCTGCTCTATCCACTTTTCAAATAAGTCGGAGGTCATGTCCTCAAGATAGTCGGCACATGATTCTTTGATATTTTTGGCAGATAACAGCAAGGCATTAGGTATAAATCCATTTTCACTGCCAGCATGGAGAATAATGATTCGTTTGCATTTAAAATGCACTTGTTGCTGTCGTCAACCCAGCCGTACTGCACAACATCATGGGTATCATACCACGTTTCATCCAGGTAAATCAGATTTCTTTTCTGCTCTCTATAGATTTTAACTTTGTGCAAAAATTCTTGGCGCAATTCAACGATTCGAGACGACTCCATAATCACCATTCTTTTATCTAATTTTTTGTATTGAAAACCACACAGTTTTACAATACAGTGCAGTGAGTCTAAG